AAATAGTTTTTGCCAAAGATATCCACATTAGATGGAATAGTACATACAAATTGATTCATCAGATTCTAAAATATAAAGAGGAACTTGCTGAATTTTTTAGGGATGAACTTCGTATAATCATTGATCCTTTTGAATTTGTTATTGTTGAAAAATTGAATGCCGTATTAGAAGTTTTTAATAACGCAACTCTTACTTTTTCTCATGTTTACCAACCAACTACAAATACATTTTTAAAAGACTGTGTTACAATCGCAACATGTTTTCGTGAAAGTAAGGCTGATCCGGATTGGTACCCATATGTCTCTCCTATGATACAAAAATGGTGTGCTTATTATTTGTACATTCCTGATATTTATAAAATAGGTATTATTTGTGATCCACGCTTTAAGATTGAAAATTATAAAATTTTAATTGAGTATTACAACAGTTGTTTTTTAGATGAAAATAGTTATTACTACAATTATTTAGTAGAATGGAAAAAAAAAGAGATAATGCTGTAAGTTTTTTTGAGAATTTGTTTGAGGAATTTCAAGGGTTATACGGAACTGTACAAGAAGAAACAGCACCACCTCCGACCCCGAAATCAAAAAAAGGTTTTGCTGGAATAGTCGGTGGTCTTCTTGCAAAGAAAGGGAAGCGTGCTCATTCTTCGACGAGTTCAAGTGGTACAACAGTAAGCTTGCACAACGAACTTGCTATGTACCAGGGTGTGCCATGCGATTACGATGAGGACGACGTGGATTTTGACGTCCTCAGATGGTGGAAGCGGAACGAACAAATGTTCCCATGTCTCGGCATGCTAACAAGACAAGTGTTATCCGTTCCGGTATCAACCGTAGCAGTTGAACGAGAATTTAGTGCTGGCAGCAACATTCTAACCGACTATCGAAGTTGTCTTAGCGCTGAATCTCTTGAAACACTGGTTTGCAACCAAGATTGGCTCTTGGCAAGACGTCGAGCTCAAGAGGCTTCGTACCAACTCGAATCGGAGCATTACATGAATGCAACAACAGATGGAAGTCCAAGTACTGAAGAATAAGTTATAATTTTTTTATGTTAATGTAAATATGTAATTAGTTTTTTTAGGTGAGCGATATATAAGCTCCTTCGAGAGTTTCTTTACGGTTCTTTACCTCGTCGCTTTTTTTGAACCGTCAGGATATTAAATGTGGTTGTTCTTCAGTTAGTGTATTATTCATTTAAAATATTTAAATAACAACTACTCCCTCCGCCCCCCTGTATTTGTCCATATTTGACTTTTGGAACTGTTCATCTAAGCACTTTGACTTATCAAATTCTCTCAATGTGTAAGCCTAAATATAGTCATGTGTGATCTTGTTTGATTTGTCTTAACATATAGATTATTAATATATAATTTTTATAATTTTTTAATATACAAATTACAAGATAAAATGGATTAAAAAAGTGCATTGGATGGCGTGTAAAAATGAAAGTGGACAAATACAGGGAGACGGAGGGAGTACATGTTTAGATTTTTTATTTCATTTTTACCTTAAACAATTGCAAATTTAAAATTTTATACTTTAAAAATTTTAAAAAAAGCAAAAAAAAAAAAGGGGGGGGGGGGCGAAACCGGCCGGTCCAGAACCGGAACCGCCGGTCCGGGAACCGGAACCGGTACCGTCCGGCACGGTGACGGTTCCGGTGAAATGGGGTGGCGGTACCGGAACCGGCGGTTCCGGAACCGGAACCATACCGGAACCGTACCGTGTCCACCCCTAGCACCAAGTAGAAAACCTTCTTGATTGAACCGTAACACTTGAGACCATAACCTTCCACTAGCAAGATCGATCTGTGCTTCAGTACTTCTCATATCAATTTCCTCACCCGCGCCCCCAGTGACATCAACAAGAGCATCTTGGACAAGTCCACCTTCCAATGCCTCATACGAACCATGAAGCTTAGCATAAGCTTTTTCCAAGATAGAGACCCACAATTCATTTTTCTTCCTGCTGGTGGCAAATGCAGGTTTACCAGGTGACTCACAGGGAATCCAATCATCAATAACAACAGGAACCCATTCCCCCTGAATTGACAAAGCCAAAAGGGTGCAAGTAAAAAAAAAGTCATCAAACAAGAGTTCTTCAAATGCCACAGTAAAATGGAGAAATTGACCCAAAATTAGGCCAGAAAATAGTGAAAATCACCAGAAAAACACCAAGTGAAATATGTATATGTTTATTCACTTGCATTCCATAATTATATCAGGTGAGTTCTATGTCTATATATAGTCATTTACACATAAAAGTTAAGAAAATATAATCATTAGGTGATGCCATTACGATGATGTCACCCCAATGATTTCATATGTTTGGAAAGTCCTAGTCTCCAAGGAAGCTAGATCTTTACTTCTCTTAATAATTTTACATATATGAATGATGGCTCACCTGGATACAGAAACGAACTGTGTATATTCCTTCCTCATTGTATTCAGGTGTAATTATAACTTCCGATATTCGTGAAACCTCAGTTAAAACAGCAACTGCACTCAGAAACCAACAATCACCCAGTCGTCCCTGAAATGTTTTAGTGGCAACATTAATATGGTAATATACACACACAAACACACAAGTGATTTGTCTCCATGGAAAGGAAATTGTAGGGGAAAGTCCAAAGAAAGACTTCGGAAATAGATAAGATCACAAGTTTTATATAGCAATACAGCATAATTAGTTTATTTTGTTGGCAAAACCTGGCATACATCTGAACAATTTGCTGCTCCAGAAAACAGGCACGGACCAGAAACAAGCTGATT